CAAAAAAAATCAATGAGAATTCTGCCTCAGATTTTAATCACACCAAAACCAGGCGCAGACAGATCTATAAATTGCATTTGACATTTAGAGTTTACCCATATTGTCATATGGCTGAAGCAATCCTTGCACTGACAAGAGTCAAACACAAGAATTAACAAAAAACAACCAAGAAATGGAATTCCATCACCTTCTGATGATTTAGCAGCTGATTTAGAAACTAACACACCCAACTGCAAACTTGGATCATGCTGGACTAGCCTAAAAGCTGAAACATCTAAACTGTCAGCTCCAAAGGAACATTGATTTGCACACTGAAGGTTTTGTCACAGACAGCAAATAAAAAGTTTCAGATACATTATTTACACAGGAGGATTCACTAACTGAAGGACTGCCAGTCTCCCTCACACACAGGAAAGGCAATTTCTGAGCCACAGTTAGGGCTTTAATGGAACTGCAGCAAAAAAGCCTTCTAAGAATTTAAAGAGGAGGGAAAACAACTGCATGCCATCACTCATATCAGTACACTGCATTAAATACCTCAATAAACTAATAATAAACAGAGATATTTAAGTATCAAGAGTCTTTCAAGGAAAGGCTGCATGTCACCAGCCTGCTTGACTTACTGTAGAAGGTACATGAGGGGTCGGCACTGCCAGACCACGCCAGCCAAAACTCTGTAAGTCATTGCCTAAATATCCTTTACATCTCATAAACCCAACATCTTTTCCAAGGATGAATCATAAACCCTAACATGGAGGAAAATGGCCTCAGCTGTAACTCACGTTGAGCTGCCATGCCCCCCACGGAAGCACGTTAATCACGGCAGCGACAAGGGACACGGACAGGTCCCTGGAATGGATCTGGGAAGCCACCCAGGTTGCAGGAGTTATTACACAAAGTATGTTCTGAATACAGACGCTGGGCAAGGATTTGTGGCATCAACTATTAACACCCTCTTTTCATGCCTTTGTTATAAACTAGATTTTAATTGGAAGGTTTCCCCGACGTTTTTATTGCCCAAGTCCCATCCTCATAAGCACTGACGATTTTAAGGTTGAAGTAACAGCAACAACTCTATATTGCAGCTGAGCAATTCCAAGTTGGCTTTTTGTTTAGATCAAAAGAGAACAACCTTTTTTACCATTATAAAAGTGCTATGGAAATAAAATGATACCATGTGGGAGCATTCTAAATCCTACCACATGGCACGCTCACTTAGGGCAACAAAATATTTCTGGGAAGGCACCTGGACACACACTGACATACACCAGCAGCTGAACAAAGCAGATGACAAACTACCTGCAACACATCAACTGATGCCTGTATCCTTTATGCAGCCAAAAACCTTCATCCTCATTTTAAGAGGAATTAACTCACACCTATCTGCTTTTAAAATCTGCTTTACGTGTCTTTGAAGCACAGAGTATTTGGAGTTTAACTCCCTGCCTCATTTTGTCTTTTTGGGGGGGAGCTCTCTCAGATACCATTTGGTTTTCATTACTGGTGTCATTTAGTCCATTCTCAACCTGTGCAGCTGAACCACTGCATGAGCTCCCAATAGATGGTGTGAATACATGAGAATGTGTATCCAGATGGTCCTCAGATGGAGCAACACAGTCAAGTTAACTCTCTTCAAGAGATATCAGAAGCCCAGAATTCTTACATTGATCACACTGTGACTCATATGGAGCAGGGCACCAACCTGAAACCTGCAAAGGGGCAAAGAGAAGTTCCTAGCAGGACAGCTCATCCATGCTGGACAGCTGAATTTCCTGTCAAGAATTTGCTGGTGATTCAGGTACCCTCCTGAGGAAGCAGTCTGTGACCCCAAGGATGGGCAGAGATCCCAGGAAGGGAGGATGCAGGCTTCCTGCCTGAGTACCAGACATTTTTGCATGTTTTTTTCCTTCCAAGAAATTAGGATAGAGCTATAAATGAAGTTATTTTAAAAGCTACATATTCAATTATAGCTTTGCATTATAATTATTATTTTTTTCCTGTCCAATGATTTTTCTTCCAACCTACATGTTCTACTCTGTTGATAGGTGGGAGTCACCTTTGTTGTAAGCACAAGTTTAGAAACGTGGAACTCTTCTGCTGCCCTAAAGCTTTTGTACTGTGGAGGGGGTGAGGCTGAGCCTGCTTTTCATGGAAGATTTACCTGGCTACCATGAACTGGTATAGCCAGTGAAAATTAACCAATTCACAAGCAGGTTGTTTCACTTACCCTGTGACCACAGAACACTTATGGAAGTCACAGCCAAATATAAGTTGTTCAAAAAAGTTGTTTATAAATGCTTTTACTACATGAGCCTGTTTCTTATGCTCTACCTCAGTGTAGTTGGTCACAGGACAGATGCTAGGAGAGATGGATGGGGATGCTCAGACTTCTCCCAGCTAGTGCTACAGAGGTGATGTAGTGAGAACCTGAGGTCTGCTCCTGATTTACACCAAGTAACCACCACTCCAGCCCAGCTCTGCCCATCGAGCAGCAGTCTCAGGTTCTGAGCAATACATCTTACACACAATCAGTGATTCTTTCATCCTGTGTCTTACAACTGCACGTGACATTCTGGGGCTGTGGTCCAAAGAAATCAAAAGGCCTCTGACACTTAGAGCTTTGAGCCTTAGAAGATATCATCACTCAGCAAATTTGCCATCTTGGTCACTTTACACAGCCTGGTAACACCCAGAGGTTGTTAATTAACACATTTGTGGAATACCATAATTTTACACAACACTTTGATTTGACCCATGTCTAAACAAGCTCATGTGTGACGCTATGCCCACATAATGGAGACTGCTGGCTAATTTTGTTCATCAGGGCTTTTTTTTTAGCTTTTACAAACTGATTAAATGCAAAACAAAAACTTAAATTAGACCTGAACCCCAGTTTCTTTCCACTGTGGTTGTGATTAGGCTCCAGAGTATCAAACTTAGCATTCCCCATGAACCAAACCAAGTTGTGAGGATCAACTTCATCACAGCTTACAGAAACACAGCTAAAGCAATCCCACAAACTTCAGTCTTTTCAGAATAAGCTTTACCTCGAAAACAGAGTGGGATTTCTGTGTATCTAAACCCCCTGAAGTGTCCTATTCCAATTTTAGTCTTTTCTTCACGTGTATTAATATATACATAATATATGCACAAAGCTGTTTTCATTTAAAATTTTGTTTCTGAAAGTAACAGAATAACTTTAAAAATGATGGGCTGAATTAAAACAATATACTTACAGCTTGGAATAGGTCCTGCTACACATAGTCTAAGTTCGTGTGACGTGTACATAAAGCAGAAGGTAAGATTTGCCAGCTGAGGAGGGACCTATTCCACTGCAAGAATCAGTAATCGCAGCCAACAATTATTTTGTAAAGACCACCAGTGCAGACCTAGGGTTTGCACTTCAGAAACTACCCTAAAATACCAGTGGTATCTAATCTACAAGTGATTTCTTTTACAGTATTTCAGTTACAAGTGTGCAAGAGACCCTGTTGGGGTTTTTTTTTTCCACACCAGATAAAGATTTCCACATGCTGCTGGCATTCTACTCAGCTGAATGTCTTCCTCAGAAGAAAACAACAGCTACACAGAGGTCTAAGAGGACTGAATGCACAGCAACAGAAACCTTCCTGTATTTGTACTTGAGAAGTGTTGTACAATCACCATAAAATGAAATGTTATTCTGAAAACAAGCAGGAACTCTACTTCTTTCAAAATGCAATTTATGGCTGATGGGAGTGGCTCATATTTTGTTTTCATCAACTGTAATGACACTGCTCAGTCAGTAAAATTATAATGTATGACTACTGTGTAAATCAGTCCCTCAAACTCCTATTTTGATGCATATGTAAACATAACCACTTAAAGTGATGTTAAAGTTAATACACATTTCAGAAGCCTGCATAAAACAAAAACAAGCTCCAACTGTAGTCCTCCAGAACATCCAATCTTGCACCACTCCTCATTCAGGATGCTTCCTCAGGCTGGTGTTTTGTACCTTACACTGTTTTTTTTTTTTTTTTCAGAAAGGTGAAAATAAAATCTTCTCTAAAGATGCTACTGAAAATATATTTTAGAAAGATGTAAACCTCAAACTTTTACAAGTTATCGGCCAGGATTCCACAAATACGGAAGGCAATCTTTTCTGGAAGACAAAATTTCTTGAGAGCTCCCTTTATAAGCAGTTCAATACTCAATTACACACACTGTATTTCAGGAGGAAAAATAGTTTACAAGTATTTAGTTAAAACCAAACTTTACTGTAACCTTACAAACAAGAAATGAATACTTCTCATGCTGCTGTGATGTTTTGACTCCTCTGGCCAAAAGCATACAAACCCTTTGAAGCTCTTTGCAAATGCAACCACCCAACCAGCCTAGGTTTTACTTCCCACTAGCAAATGACCCTGTGAAAGCCAAACCCAAAGAGTTTCAGTCAGCCTTAGATGAGCTGCTGACTTACAGCTACACAACTTCAACTCCATACCTAGCCCTAAGAAAACAAAAGGCAACACATCACAACATGCGGCAGAAGAGGAGTAAAGCACTGAGAGGAACTTGCCTCAAAACATACCTTGTGGGAAAAGTCCAAAGTTCTGCACACTTCCACTTCTCAGGAGGGAAATCCAAGTGCAAGCAGACTTTAAACATACCCCGTGAGTGGTCAGTGGTTAGCTGAGCTGATGCAGGCACTTGTCCCCATACCACACACAGTACAACCACTCAGGTACATAAGGACTGGTGTTCCAAGCAGAGGTGAAGCGCACATGCAGGGCTGGGCAAGGAGGCATGCAGTGAGTCCACGTGAACCCTGCCTACACACTGATCCTCTCCTCAGTGGCCTCTTTTTTCTACACCAAGTCTTTTAAAGAAAAAACACAGAATCTGACTCTGGCAAGGCCAGCACCAGCTCCTGCTCCCAGCATGCTGATGGTTGGGCCCCACACGGGGGAGCAGTGGCGGGGGCTGCAGGAAGCTGTGGAGAGCACCAGAGAACATACCTTCTTATGGACAACGGAGGAGGTGGAATTAACTGTGCTCTCGTCACTATGCATCATGACCAGTTCAGGGCTGCTCTCATCCAGGACCTCCTGCATGCTGCTCACACTGCTGCTCTGACTGCCCGTGCTCACAGACATGCTTGGGATGGAATGGTTGCTGCCCAGACTGTCCATCTTCCTACTCAGGTTTGATCCATGCTCACTGTCCTATAAAACAAGGGGCATCAGTTACAAACCCTGCAGGAGATCACCTGCCCAGCATGTGCCTGCAGTGCCCAAAATCTGTTCTAAAAGTGACTCTGTGGAGTTAAAAGTTTCTTTGCTTGTTATTTTGGCAACTATGTTTTTCCCCAGGCTGCTTAGGTTATGAAATAACTCCATATGGGGCAGTTAGCTTTTGCCTTTTTCCCTGAAATCTTCCTCCATCAAGCTTCAAGTAATTTTTTTTTTTTTCACATATTGGTAAGTCTGGGCATGGCTCTTGGCTTGAATTGGAGACATCCAGGAATACTGGATGGCTGGTGGAAGGACTCTCATAATTAAAAGGAGCAATCAAAGTTTGTATTAAACCAATGTTCCAAGGCAGGATATGCAACATCACATTTTGTGATTCAGAGGAGAAGACAACAAACTCATTTGTTTGTTATGTGATAAAGATCACATATTAGCAGGTATAGAAGCTTTAACCTCCATCTCCCAAGCAGTCAGCAATTACACTTTGTCAAGCTAAAAACCCCTTTAACCTCGAGTTTGCAGCGAGGATAAATTCTTCATTCACCTTTAAGCAGCTGACTCAGAAGAGCCTGCATTATTACAGCAATTAAAACTGTTGTAATCTATTTAGGCATATGCAAATAAATATCCCTCATATAGGACACTTTTGATTCTACAGACAAAAATCAGAAGTTACATGTTTTTTATGTTTCTTATTGCATACTCAATATGAGCACAGTAAAGCCAGAGTACACACTTAACCCAGACTGACTTAGGGAGTTTATGGAGGAGTCCTTTGTAATTAAGTAATGGCACGGAAGAGGCTTGCAAGGAGTTCAGAGTGAGGACTGAGAACTCCAAACATCCTTCATCTTATGGTTCAAAACAGCCTTAATTCACCACAATGAATGCCTCAATACTGCACCCCGTTTGTGCTGGCCTCCCAAGTGAGCTTGGGGAGAATGACATCACAAACCAATTAACAGGGTACTCATTTTGTTGGAGACCAACAGAAAGATCAAACTGCAGCCTTGACAGATTTGTATGTGATTGTGTGATTGTTTTTTAAGCAATCAGCAGATCCTCCAGAGCCTATGTGAGAGCACTTAAAATCCAAAATAATACTATTTTAAAGAGGACATATGCACATGAGAAGAAAAATATTTCCAGGATGCTCATATAAAGTTGAAGAAGTAACATAATGAAGCATCTGAGATGAAGATCTGGCTATGTAATTAGTGAATGTATATGCACAAAGGACAGGAATGAGATTGCATATACAACCTTAACATTGACCGTCTGACTTGAATACTTTCCAAATGACCTTAACTGTCTTGCAGGAGCTCTGAGGAATTAGTAATACTCTGAGCATTAGTAATATTTTGAGTGTTAAAGATTGGTAATGCTGCTTTTCCACCTTAGGAAGTCTCAAGCAGAAAAAGGAACCGTCTTGTGGCATTCCCAGTTGAGCAGCTTCTGTTAACCAGTTGAGTAGTGACTGAAGTACGTGCTGTGTTTCCCTTTCACTGCCAAGTTAGTGACACACACGAGCAACACAACCTCCTCTCATGGTACACGAGCTCAGTGGCAAAACACAGTGCAGAGCATGCTGTGCACATGCAGAGAGGGACCTTCACTGGGGTGTTAATTCCTGGAGACACAAGATCTTTTCTTTTCCCCCACCTTCTTTGGAGGAGTGGGGACAGGAGGAAGAAAAGATACATCTTGGAGTCAACTACTACCACATGTATCTTGCGTG